AATCAACATGCAACACATTTAACCATTGAAATAAAATTTTGAAAATGCATTCATACTTTGCTTTTGAAAACAGCTCAGGTGGTTGAATTGAATTTCAAACTAGAATTTTGCAGTGTCTTTTTGGCCGTCTCAAATTTCTGCACCCCCCCTTATTTTGCAAGTATATACATAATGTAGGCATTGAAAATTGGAGTTTACTTTTTTTGTGTTGCCCCCCTCCCACTTTTGTCAGTCTGTTTCAATCTGATGTTGTAATATAACACTTACCTTGCCATAACTTTATAATAAGGCTATATACATTGTACATGAGAATTTTTTTGTAGGTAAATTATCAAGAAGAAAAGATAAAATGAAATCGTCCATTACAATCATCGTTGGTATCATTCTTAATTTTCAGATAATTTCCGTATCACTTTAACATGCTTTACATCCTACATGTATGTATTTTATGCCTTGTTTTTGCTTTATATCGTATGCTGTATTTTTTCAATAGATCACAAGAACATTATTGACTTCCTGTCAACAAAATATGAAAGTAACATCATGTCCTAAATCTATTAAGGTATGCAGAGAGGGAGAGGGAACATTTAAAAGGATGTTACGTGCCTGAAAATACTGTGCTGCGTGTCAGGGTTTCGAGGCAGTCAAAATGCGATATCTGAAGAAATATTTTATCAATGAACTTGAAAATGAATAGGCTTCGTACTTTTATACTGCAACACAAGTATGTAAACGCTGAGAATGGTTAATGCAAATGTTTTTTGTCAATCTTGCCCACAAGGTGTAACGAACACACTAACACACACACACATACGCACTATCCTCGGTGACGTCACGTGATTGAGCGCAGCAGCGGGGTTCTTTTCATGCCAGACTTTGGCCGGAGAAGACGCGCTTGTACCGAGATAAGAAACGAAGAAGTGCAGGAGAGGTAAATATATATTTATTTTTAAAAAAAAAAATAATGGGTAACCTTGGTGGTTCTAAGCCTTGGTGGCTATTGTGAATGCCTTGGTGGCATAGGGAACATATAAAGTTAAAAAAATGAAGCCTTGGTGGCTAAGAGCCTTGGTGGCATTGGGGCCGGGTCGGCCATTGTTTGATTGGCTTTACTATTTTGGTGGCTATAGAATAAAAATACTATTGGTAGTATTAGTGTGCAATATGTTTTTTTTTGCATGTCTTGGATGGCACATGATGCAGTCAAGAAAACACTGGGAAAACAAAAAGATTATTAATTTAAACAGGATTCAGTGGCTAGAGCAAGTAGATAATGCGATCTGTTGACCATTCCTTTGAGGTGTCGGGTTTCAGTGCGCCAGTGCACGTGTGCTATTATCTCGATCAGGAAATTGTTGGGTGTAATCATACGCACATTCGCGATGCTATATCCCCTCCGCAACTAGTTGCGCGAGGGGATAGTTAGCACTACCCCAAGCCTGACACCGAGGTAAATGACCTTGTGACCTTGACTGTGACCTTTTTGCTAAAAATAAATTTTTCGAACTTTGATGCCGTCGGTCGCATAGTGTTTTACATCTTGTTAAATACATGTATTATTTCTCTTTCGGTATCAACTTTCTATAATGAACGAAAACATTCTAGGTAAAAGATGTGCTGAATATAATGTTCATGGTAGAGTCATTCAGTCCAGTTTGGAAAACCATTGTGAAACCTGCCCTGTAAGGTACATATCAACATATATCTATAAATGTTAGTGTATACATGCATTCTTTTTTAGTTTTGAATAGTTTTTAACTAGGACATTTATCAGCTTTAACAAATCAGTATAGTAAGTTATGATAAACAGCAAAGCCTATCATTCCTAGGTATAAGTTGTTAAAAGGTACATGTATGATCTATACCCTTCTTGTTTTAGATCAAAGTTGCTATGACATTCTGAGCAGCTCAGAAGAAGTTTCAACAGACAACAAGATCGAAAATCAAAACAGATATATGTAAGTAAACCAACATTTTTTCCTCTCAACTCATATTTTACAGATAATTTTTAATTTTGCATCAAAAGTTGCATAAAATATGCCATGCATATCAGTTAAAATACTACTGAAACAAAAGATCCCACTGGCTTTTCAGAGCTGTCAGTCACCATTCCCTTTTTAACTTTTTTTCAGGATGGGCATTACTCGTTGGAACGTGGTCTTCACTTTATTGTCAATATTAGCTGTCTCTGTTTTTGTGATTGCTGTTGGGGTTGTTTTTATTATTATCCGGTTGAAATTATTATCTTCTCGCAAAAATATCTCTGGCGAGCCGTTGTTGACATCCTGTAGCAACTCATAAGGCGGTTTACAAAGGATTTTTTTTCTCTCTCTTTTGTTGATTAATAAATGGATATATCAACCATGATATTTTAACTTATACTGAAGTTTATGGTGTCATAATACATACTAGTTGCTGTAGCAACTCATATGATGTTTTATGTATTTATGTGAATTCAAATCAGATATGAAAAACTCGCTACGATGTGTCAAGTATTAATGTGTATTTTGCATTGATGCGATTTAAATAAAATGGTTTCTATGATCGTTAGTACAAGAATTAATGTTGCTGTTGTTGCACAAAAAACGTTATCCGCAAAAGATGGAAAAGCTATTGCTAAAACTTATGCAGATGACTTACGTTTACTGGCTGATAAACGGGCAATGGTTTTCATAAGAAAGAAAGGCAATAATATTCAGTGGCTGTAATATAACAAGCATTCAGAGAGTATTGCATTAGCATTAAAATGTCCCCTACCGGGATACCTTTTTCTCTTCAGGATGTCATTTGAAGTACTTGTTTATGATTGTAATGTATTGGAAATAAGTCAATTTGCTTTACAAAGAAGGTCGTGTTTGAATGCCATTAGACATGTACGTAGATGCTTTGAGATTGATCATAACAGGGTAAAAACGGTTTAAAAATCAATTTTGTACCAAAAATCAAACTTGATATATGGCTTGCCAATTGGGTAGAATAATCTTATCTGTTTGAAATTTTATCTGCTTTTAACCTTAAAGAGGAATGTACATATATAAGGACGAAAATTCAAGTCATTTTCTCAACGTCTTTTTCTCGCTTCACATTTACACACCATGTTGACATTCGGAACTAGTATATGTCTCCCGTTTTAATCCACTATCGGTGAATCCAGAAGAGACCATAGGTTTCTTAATTCTGAGTCTGTCCGTCTGTCTAGCTGTCCATCTGTCCCTTTTGGTTTTCCGCACTTTTTTCTAAACGCCTGCAGATATTGAGCTTAATTTTGATACGTGAGTGTATCATGATGAGTTACAGAACAGGTTTGCAATTTCATTCCGCTTCACTGATTTTGGCGGAATTTTGACATTTTGATTTTCTATACATGGTTTGAGATCGGTTCGTGCTTCACTAAATTAATATTCCAAACGATATTATCATGTTAAAAATTATAAATATCTGTATGACTTATTTTGATGGCTTGCTTTTCCCTCCCGTTTTAGATTTTGTACATGTACTCGTTTTCGAACCCAAGGAAGTTTTCTTAAACACATTTAACAGTGGTCGTCAATCTGCATCTTATTAAAACCATCAATGTTTATAAATCACCTAAGTAAATTTGGTAACCGATTGCTACCCTACACCTGGCCAATAAACAGACATATGGTTGGCATAATTATAAAAAAAGCAATTAGCTCTCCACAAAAATTAGGCGTTTTTGTAGGGAGTGTTATTCAGTTATTTACTTTCAGCATAGAATGCATAATAAAATGTACATGTATCAATAATTTCCAGTTGCTTTACCAAACATTTTGGTAAAAATGAAAATCGTGTAGACTTAAAATGCTTCAAACTGTGTTCCACCGTAGTCCTGCAATTTGAATGTTTTCAACAAATTTGAATATATATGATAGTCCGTGTGGATTTGAAGAAGCAAGAAGAGCAGTGACAAGTGCAACACTAAAACTGACTCTCTGATTTTTTGTGATGGTGATGAACATTCAGTGGGTTGCAATGAAGGCAGAGAGCTGGGTGGTTCCGGGTTGGGATTTGATCACCCCAGTCGGCGTACCTCTGGAGGTTGTAGTTGACAACGCCGAAACAATCACTGAATGAGAATTCACCTGAGGACGGCCGAACCATGACGCATCGAACACCTTCAAGATGTATACGGGTATTTGATGCCTTTATATACCAGGGTATTAAACAGACAAACTTAAACCCTTCTATTTCACATGTACCTTTCCCATACGGGGCACCCCTACTTGTTTTTACTTTGTTTCTACTTGTATGACTCAAATTCAGGCACCCCCGCTTTAAGCTTGTATTTTGTTAGCATATCAATCATTATCCTACTTTCAAATGAACTCGTTTGTTTCTAGATACTTTTTTCTTCTCAATTCAATTCAGAAGTCTTTGGCTGGGCCTCTTTATTGTAATCCACGAATTCATTCCTCAAAAATTACCTCGATACAAAGTAAAACATCGAATAAGATGCATCTGTTTCCGGTAGGTGTTATAGATGTAGGATAAAACTAGAAACTTCCGAGTATTTCATTCCAGAGTACCTTGTGGTAAAAATAAGTTGGGGTGCCCCGTTTACGAAACAATGCCTGTCTTGTATTTTCAAGGAAATATTCATATCTTTGATTTCTTCAATTTTAAAATTGTTTTTTTTTTCTTTGATGTTCGAATTGACAATACTCACTTAATTAAACTAGAAAATGTGGTTCGCTTCGAGAAAGTTTCTATAGTAAGAATTTGAAATCTATAAAGTCATGGTAAAAATTAGCTGAAGAACTTAGCTCTCCGAAGAAAAAAATTTTGACAGAGAGCTAAATGTTATAGTTTAGTATGTAATACTAAGTAAATTATTTTTTTTCTTAGACTGCAATGACAAAACGTACCCCTGAAAACTTCACCTAGAAAACAAGTGAGATAACTGAAATTTTTTTAATACGTGTATTATTTCTCTTTCGGTATTCCATTTCTGTAATGAACAAAAACATTCTAGGTAAAAGATGTGCTGAATATAACGTTCATGGAAGAGTCATTCAGTCCAGTTTGGAAAACCATTGTGAAACCTGTCCTGTTAGATACATATCAACGGATATTTATAAATGTAAGTGTGTATATTTAAATCATTTTTTTTAAATTCGAAACTAGTAATTCATTTATTAGCTTGAAGGGGCTGGGGGTTGTGGCCATTCTCAGACTATTTTGACCTCCTTTAGAAGAAGAGCTCCGTGTAAAGATAGACAAAAATGTTCAAATTTAAAAACTAAAATGTATGAATTTTTTCTTTGCCAAATGATAGTTGACAGCTTAAGATACCGCTTTTAAAAAATAAGTTAAATCTGGTGGTTAATTTGTGATTAATTTGTTGAACCCCCCCCCCCAGTCTCCTTAAAAGATTATTATACTTAACGAATAAGTATAATATCATTCCTATGTATAAGCTGTTAAAAGGTATAATCTACACCATTCTCGCTTTAGATCAGAGTTGCTATGATATAGTGACAAGCAGCTCTAAAGAAGTTTCCACAGTCAAGATCGACAATCAAAACAGATGCATGTAAGTAAATCAACATTTTTTCCCTTTAGCTTATATTTTGCAGATAAATTGAAATTTTGCGTCAAAAGTTGCGAATTATGTCATGCATGTGATAGGATACTACTGAAACAAAGTTTCTACTAGCTTTTCAGAGTAAAAAAAAAAAAATTTCACCATTCTCTCTTTAACTTTTTTTCAGGATCGACAATAATCGTTGGAACATGGTATTTGCTTTATTGGCAATATTAGCTGTTTTCGTTTTTGTGATTGCTATTGGAGTTGTTTTTATTATTATCAGGTTGAAATTATTCTCGTCTCGCAAACATGTATCTGGCAAGTCGTTATTGATATCCTATAGCAACTCAAAAGATAATTTATAAAAGATGTTTATCCCTTAAGGAGGAACAGGACCTTTACCTGAAAAAAATCCTGTCAATGAATTTTTTTCGTGTTTTTTATATTACTAATTTAATATGTACTTAACATTTTAAAACGGTCATGTCATGGGATTTCTTGACTCATTTAAAAGATATCGCCCCACAAATCCCGCCCTGTTGAGAGTTTGTATGGAGTTTAGATACTTCATGTTTACGGGCCCATAACGGAGTCCATAATGCAAATTTTTACGCACAAACGATAAATATGATAGATAACACTAAATACTCGAATATTTCAGAATATTCATAGTGTTAAAATTATCTGAAAGCAATTGTTTTAGTCTTATATAGTATTTGGGTGGGATAATTTCTGCATTTTTCAAGCCAGCTTCAACGACAAAAACCTCATTTGTAAAAAAAATCTGTCAATAAATATTTCTAAATTTGCGATTGAATGTCAGTCCTTTGTCGTAATTATTTACTGCATAAATATCACAGGGTGAAGCTTACCTCAATATCGCACAGGACATCGTTGAATTAGACGTAAGCATGATAAAAACGCTTCACGTTTGTATTTTCCGAGTGCGGGAAATCAATTGTGACGTCACACGAAAACATAAACATTCAAAATTATCTGAATAGAGAGAATCTCTGCTACTAAACACGAAAAAATATTAATTGAAAAAATCTGCTTTAGAAATTTATCACGATACATTGACTGTGACCTGTTTATAATGAAATAAAACTGATAATGACGGGTGTTTGTACTTGATCTCGCCGCACTGAGAATTCAAACACTACGTCTATGACGTCACTGACGTCAGACTGCAAGGTAAAGAGAAACAAATGTGTGGATGGGCAACTTCATAATATCTAAATGATGGCAAGATCTTAAAAAAAATTTATTAATAATAATTTCTGAAATTAAATGTTTAAAAACAGCTTTAGAATTTAGAATAAAATTACACAATAGGCCTAACTGTTAATTTTAACAACATTTAACATGTATATCATCACGGATTATGACGTAATATGTCTTTTTAGTCATGTGACATGTTCCCTGTCTCCCCTTAAATACTAGTAGACCGTCATATCTGCCTTAAGATTTTACTTATACTCAAATTAATGATGTCGTTATACCTAATGATGTAACTATGAAATGTATGTTGTTGTTTTTTATGCATTTTTATAAAATTAAATCTGATGTGGAAAAACTCACTACGATGTGTCAGTGTATTTTGCATTGATGCAAATTAAATAATAAAATGATTTCTATGGTCGTTAGTACAAGATTAATGTTGCTGTTGTTGCACAAAAAACATTATCCGCAAAAGATGGAAAAGCTAATGCTAAAAATTATGGCTTGTGTTTACTGGCTGATGAACGGACAATGGTTTTGATGAAAAAATTAAAGGCATTAATATTCAGTGGATGTAATATATGATTGAAATATCTTAAATCAATCTGCTTTACAAAGAAGGCCGTGTTTGAATGAATTTACATTTACACACCATGCTGACGTTCGGGACTAGTATATACTTTGAATTAGAATTGTCTCCCGTTTTAAGTCCCTATATCGGTGAAACCTGAAGAGACCATAGGTTTCTTAATTCTGAGTCTGTCCGTCCGTCTAGCTGTCTATCGGTCCCTTTTGGTTTTCGCCCATTTTCCGATCCAGTGGTTCCGGGCTGGGACTTGATCACCATGTAGGTGCACCTTGGGAGGTTGTAGTGGACAACACCGAAGCAATCACTGAATGAGGATCCACATGAGGGCGGAACCAAGACGCATCATACACCATAAAGATGTATACGGGTATTTGATGCCTTTATATACCAGGGTATTAAACAAACAAACTTAAACCCTGGTATTTCACAGGTACCTGTTTTGTATACGGGGCACCACTACTTATTTTTACCACAAGGTTCCTGACTCAATTTCAGGCACCCCCCGCTTCAAGCTTGTATTTTGTTAGTACATGTATGTATATCAATCATTAACCTACTTTAAAATGCAATCGTTCGTTTTGAGAGACCTTTCTCTTGTCAATTAAATTGTTTCAGAAGTCTCTGGCTGAGCCTCTTTATGTAAACCATGAATTTATTTCTCAAAAATTACCTCGATACAAAGTAAAACACCGAATGAGACAAGGTACCTTGTGGTAAAAATAAGTAGGGGTGTCCAGTTTACGACACAAGTGCCTGTCTTGTATTTTCAGGGAAATACTCCTAACTTTGATTTCTTCAATTTTAAAATGGCTTTTTTCTTTGATGTTTGAATTGACAATACTGGGGTTTATCCAATATGGATAAACATGGTTATTTCGTGCAGCTTCAATTTATACATATAATGGTAGATAACTTTTAGTTTCTTAACGTTGAACTTCATAAATCATCGGGCTAGGTGCTCAAACAATTCTTGATATTTCTTGTATGCGCATGTCTTCTAGAATATTCCTTTTTAATCTGTAATTTGAAGGAAGCAGACGCAAAAATTTTTCGTTTTCTTTTAATTTCTCGTTTCAGCGTCATGGCATGGATCGAATCCTGAATAGGATCCACCAGCTTGATGATGTGCTTTGCGGACTTTCAATGTTGATGTGATTTGCGGACCTTCAATGTTTCATTTGCGTGTGGCTATTGACTTTGTTAGGCATAATTTTGCAAAGAATGCTGTCTCCGGGGGGTACTGTTTTTTCCAGACTCCTTGGATCAAGATGGTATTTCTCTTGCTCATTATCTATATTCATTTACCTATGCTGCCATATTATCATCATGATCGGCGCATACATTGTGTTATATTTAATATATTATTAAATGGCCATGACGAACACGCCAAAACAAATAATGTCTTG